AAATACGATCGCGGTGCTTCAAAACACGTCTATGACATCGTGACAGGTGATGAATTATGGATTTACGCGTATGAGCGTGAACAGCAGTCGACTATATGGGTGTTTCAAGAAGAGCCAAATCCAACAAAAGTTGTTTGCACACGAAGTACTTCCAAGCAAATGGTCGTCTGTTTTTTAACAGGACATGTCGCAACCGTACCACTAAAATAACGCAGAACAGTAAATTCTGAGTGGTACACAACCAAGAAATGAAGAAAACTAACCGCCGAAGACGGATCACTCTTCACCACGACAATGCGAGCTCTCACACATCGGCTCAAACAACTGTATTTTTGAGCACCCAAAACATCGATTTGATGAGCTGTTCGCCGTATAGTACTGACTTGGCACCGAATGACCTCATTTTCATTTGCGCACGTAAAAAACAAACTGAGAGGTCAACGTTTTTCGACACCTGAAGAAGCGGTTGCTGCATTCAGAATGCATGTTTTGGAGATACCTCAATCAGAGAGGTAAAAGTGCTTCGACAATTGGTTCAAACGCATGCAAAAGTGTATAGAACGTCATGGGGAATATTTTGAAAAACAGTAAAGTGATTTTCAATGATTAATATTTGTTCTTGTTCCCTAATCCCGAAATATAAAAAGCAACCCTCGTATAAATTTTTATATGAATTTATGACTTTTTTGTGGGGTTAAGTATACACATGCCGCATCGTCTTACTAGATGAAGGAATTTGACAGAAATTTGAATCATATTGGTGTTGACAGCAGATACCTAATTCTGAGAATTATACATATAAAACAAACTTGAAACAGCAGAACAGAACTTGTGGTTCAAAAATGAAGTCAAGACAGTTCAAAGAAGTTGCGTACTTTTTGAAGAGGAACGCTTTCAGCATGGATATAGTCGAGCCGAGAGGGTCAACTAAGTGGCCTATTAATAGTATCAAGGATCATTAAGAGGTCAGTTATCATTCAAGGAATATTAACAATCAAAACGTCGTGAAATAGTTTGGTTTCAAGTCCTATAATTTTTTTTATTTCTCGCATTCTTTCACTGCCCTTCTCAATTTTCCTTCTTGTAAAATACTAATAATTCCTTTATTCAAACCATTAATAATTCATTTCTATTTCATGTTATAATGATGTGTTTCCTTTAAAAACTTGTGTATATGTTATAATGAGCATACTCATTTTTGTAATAGAAAAAATTATAGAGACTGAAAAGTCAAGAATGAGTGGCAAAAAGTATGTTGGATAGACTATATAACTTACGTAGGCTCGTTTTAAAGAACACATATATCCGAATCGGAAGGTCAGAATGGAACACTTCCTGACCTTCAAATGAAGTATTGCAGTTCCTATTTTTTACTCTTATATAAACGAATTTGTTCAAATCAATGACGTATGACCAACAGTAAAAATTCACGATGTGTGCTCATATTGGATGGCAAAATGTATTTCAGAATGTGAACTTTGTTAGCCTCGTCAACAACTGAGCTCATTGATAATGTCTACCGCAGTTGTAGACGAAACATCAGGTTGAAAACCAGCACATCGTGATCAACAAACCCAGAAAAAGCTTTGACGAACAAACTATTTCTTCTTATTTAACCGTACCATATCAAATGTCATCGATTCCATAATCAAAACACGTCCATTAAGGTATTTTGATGGTGGGGCCTGTTTCGCACATCGTTGGACAACTAGTGGAGATTAATTTCCTATGAGCTATAATCTATGCCGGATCCGCATTAGAACTTATCCACTCCATCATACACCAACCTGTTCATTAGTGTAATGACATTTTAATAAGATTGCCGTTCAGGATTTGTGTGCTAATCCGTATGCATATTGCACGTTGAGTCGCGTCGACTGCATTCCGAAGGGTATTCGAATGGAGCTTAATGATGATGAAGTTGCCGGGTTTCAGACAAGAGGTTGCCGGGACGATAGATTCTAATTGTGTTTTATGCTTTTTGGAATGAATCAACTGTAAACGCTCATCTTTGACGAAGGTAATGGTTCTTCCAGATAGTAGCAATTTTATTGAAATCGTACTCGTAAAGGTAATGCATCTGGCGGCGTCAAGTAAGGTGAGTGACACGAGTGCCGGCTCTGCGGTCTCATGTCAAGGTACGATATATTTCAACAATAAAATGTCCACAAACACCATTCGACTTGCATCAAATAAATTCCCCTTTTTTTACTCAAACTTTGTAATATATATCGAACACCATCTAGTTTTTCAGAAAATATCCATAAATAAGATAGATAAACATTTTGATAACTTCTGAAAATTGCAGAACGCTGTAAATGAATGTGTTAAATACTTGGGTCAGCTTCAACCAACCCAACTACTTCGTCAAAATGGCAAGTCGAGCTCAACGCCGATAATGTATCTCATTAAAATGCAACTCGTCAAGGTAACCTATAATTGACAATACCAACTGGTAATTAAAAGTCATTAAATTGTCTGAACGCAATTACATTTCGTTATAAATTAATTGAATTGTATACATATTTGTTAATGTGTTTCGGTTTGATGCACACATGCAATCTAGACTGGTGAAAGATTAATGTTGCTTCGGAATTCATGAGACCGCTAATGGTAATAATAACCGAACACTAAGTACCTATGACCGTGTCAGATTTCGTTTCTTGTATTTGAACCTGAGAAATCACGTATTTCATTCACTTCATAATTCATTATATGAATATATCGATTCTTTTCTTGTTCAATTCCTTGTTCGACAGCAGACTCCTTGACGCGTTTAAGAGTCTGAAATTAGCTGTAAATTGTCCACTTCCTAAAAATTAAAAAACATATTCATAGAATTCCTGATGTATGACAGATTTTTACAAGAAATTATAAAATATCAGTTAGATAGTACTTAGCTGCGAAATCATGCATAAACATTCGTAGATTTGAGCTGACACAATCGCATCTTCATGAAATGAAAAGTGGAACAGTTGATACATAATCGTCGGTCATAACGACACGAAGCAAATATTTGTATTGTTTTGTTTGCCAGACTTAATATTTGTAACAAATATTTGTCCAGTTTATTACTCCTACATGTATAGACAATGTGTGTATTTTACACAAAAGTTATCTGAATATAAAGTCTTCAATCTTAATCTCAACGTAAACTGAATTATCACTATCGGTTTCTCGAGTACATAGTGCCGATAGTGTTGTAATGTAAGCCTAAAAACAAATAACTATTCAAAAGTTTTAGATAGTTGATGCTCCAGGTAAAAAGTTGTCAAGTGTATTTTATAATCGTAGAGTAAAAAAGCCTCCTGAAGCCTACATATTTTATTACATCATACTTAAATCAAATTATAATCCAAAAGTTTCATATGTTGCAAAAAAATGGAAATAACAACGTTTCATTATATAATCGGTTCTAGCCATAAACAACCAGCATCCACTGTTGATTTCATTATTACTGACTACCCCAAAATCAAGCAGCAGTAGAAATATCCTATCGGTAATCTGAGGTACCACAAGGTTGTTATCATGGGCCTCTTCAGTTACCATATACAATCCCCACTTTACTCATCTTTCAAGTCTGGAGTAGATAAGCTCATATACGTATGGCACCATGGACAAAATATTTAGGAGTTCGACAACAAAACTGTTTCAACTAAATATCTCATCAAATTCCCAAAAATGTAGATTCGTTATTCGAAGCATCATTTCTTAATTTATATTGGTTGGAAATGGTTCTCTCTGTTGCCGATAGATTGGATTTATTAATTTCCTCATATTTCACACATTTAGTCTCGCATTTCGATCAACTTTATCAATCATAGTTTCAGTCTATTCTAGAACACACTTTTTATGAATGGTTGGTTTTCTTTGAATGCAAAGTTATGTCTTATTAGTCAGCGATCCAGACAGATGTCCATTTGTAGTTGAATCAGCATTCTTTATGATGAGCAACTGCGCGGTGTTTGTTAAACTTAGCAGATTCTCTGTTATCTCAACTCATCGGATGGTATTTCAAAGGATATCCTTTCGAATATTAAGTCATCATATTTTCTACAGATACTTGATTATTATTATTCAGTTAGATCATTTGTCAGTACAAAAATAAGCGACGTTTGAGATAAGATTGGGAAGACATGACAAAATGTTTACTGGAGTCACTGGGTCTCTAAAAACAATAACAAAGCAATATTTGTAATAAAGCTATCCACACGGAAATACCTACTGAAAGGCCCGACAACAAATATTTCAACATAAAGGCTTTCAAATTAGATCAAATTAGTGTAATTCAATTGTGATTTTGAAATAACATACACAAACAGTTCAGGGGCTTCCAAAATATTTATAGGGTTATTTTCCATGCGCTTGGCTAGAATATATTTTTGCTATACCTACCTAAACCTTTAATTTTTTTTTACTTCAATTTTCTTCAATATAATCCCCTCCACTATTCCTACACTTTTCAATTGAATTTTTTCACTGTTCGAAACAGTATTTCTAATAATTTTTTGAAGGCATAATCATAGCCTCCGTAGTTTTTGTCTTCAGTTTTCTTTGGTAGGCATCGGATTCCTTCTAATGCCACCTTCACTTTCAGGAACAAAATAGTCATATGGAGCTAGATCTTGTGAGTAGGCTGGATGTTCCAATTGAGGGTTTCCATGCTAGACTAAAAATGACAATAATCAAAACAGTGTGGGTTGGATCATTTTCATGTGGAAGCATCCACGACTCGTTCTTCTACAATTATGTGGTCTTCAGCTTCTGCTGGTTCATGAACAGTGGCTGAAATCACCAGATAATGTCTGAAGGGACCCAATTCACATATAGAATTTCATGGAAGTGAAAAAACAATCACCATGCCCTTGAATTTCGACTTGGACATTAGAGTTTTCTTCAGTCATGACACTGTAGATTCTTCCAGTGCACTGATTGTTGACTAGTTTTTGGGTTATAAGTAAAAGAAAACATGATTTGTTACATGTAATAACTCTTCCCACCAGTTTCTTGATGGTTTTCAAGATGTCAGAATACATTTCCAGTCGAGAGTCCTTTTGTTCGGGCGTGCGGATTTTAGTCGCCATTTTGAAACACACTTTTATCAAATTCAAATGTTCATGTAATATTCTTCTAACTGATTCTTTGTGGACTCCTATAGTATCGGCAACTGCAAAGAATTCTCAAACAGAAATCTTGATAGATGAGATTGTCGATTTTGTCGATGTTTTCAAGGACATATTGAGAATGGGTCATATTTGATGTCTTCTTTTCCGTCAAGTTCATAACACTCAGAAACCTTTGTACGTGACCCAAAATTTTTCCCCATAGAATTGTTGCGGATTTACACAGATTCACTGAAAATTTCACGTTCAAACGTTGCTCAATTAAAACGTCTACAAAGGCTGTGGTTCAAATGAGCAAGCTAGTGTCGTCCAACTGGTTGGAATGTGGAAGCGGGATGTCAAACGACTTGACAATATGGCGTTTGACCTTTAGGATCGTACCGTTTGTCTTGCAATGAACTAGCCCCGTTATTTTCTAGCCACCCCTTGCTTATTACAAGAAAATTAGCCCATGCGCGGCAAATATAAAAAAACACAAGTTCCATTAGTATATAAGATTGGGTTGTCGTCAGAACTAAATTTATGAGTGAACGGATGATAGGAAATTCCAATTTTCCATTTGAAATACGACAATTCTTATGTAAGTACCGGGATTTACTTCAGAATACTATTGACCCAGCTTTAGTACCTAACATAGTGAATATTCTGTGAATACTGAAGAGGAAATGTATTTCAACAAGATGGTTCTTCTTCAAATCATGGCAATGTTTCTACATCACTTTTACTGTCACAATTCCAATACCCTAAATGACTAATTTGTGTTTTAGTGAACAACAGCTAGACTTTATCCGATACAACCTGCACCTGTTGTCCTGAATGCCCGCCAATGACTGAAGATGGATTTGTATCATCTTAGTACATACAACAGGTTTATGTTATGCATGGCAAAGTGCCCCGAGTCCATAGACGACAATCGCTACATGGTAATTACGGACACAATCAACCACTTACCAGCAAACTAATAGCTTATCAGCATTGCTGTGATCATTAACAATAGAATATTCTCTAACCATTGCAAATACGATATATCTTGCTTGACGTCGGGTACTATGAAGATATTGCATTGATGACTGGGTTATTATATATTATTCGCGAGGTACGAGGCGTGCTTATAAATGGGTTATTACATATCTATGTTCATTTCCGAACTTTGACAAGCTGCTGCATTTTAGAACCTTGTGTATGAAAACAATAAGTCCAGTCAATGACCTTTTATTACGTATAATTTTGCTGTACAATACCGATGTTTATGAATTCTTTTTACACTCTACTTCAAAATTAACCCCGTACCGGGGGGATTTTCTTCAACCCGTGCAGTGGATTCCGTCTCTTCTTGGATGGTGACAAATTTTTCATTAAAAACAAATCCAAAAATAGATGGATTGACTAATTGTTAAGTTTTTCCTGATAGTCCATAACGTGGGCTATTTAAAAATAAGGTGACTATTCAAATTTCGCGGGTCACGTACTTTAGGTTAATGATTTTTTGAATTTTTTCAAGTTGGTACATTCGTCTCGAACATATGCTCAGATTTTCAGCTGTTTAGCATGTTTAGTTTGTTAGTGTATCAAAGAATTGTTGACAGTGGCAGATGATGATTGAACTCTTGAGTCAGAAATCAACAACCGAAGAAAACGCTGAGAAAGTGAAAAAAATTGTTAGGAAGAATCGTCTAATCACTATAACAGAAGTTGCTGAGAATTTTGACCAAATAAAACCGTTGCATGAGCATCGCCCATTAATTGTTGAAAGACGGCAACGGCGATCCATATTTGCTAAAGGGTCATAACTGATGACAAATCACGGTTATATGGTTACGACATCGGAACCAAAGTCCAATCGTCCTAATGGAAGAGCTCAGGATAGCCAAGACTAAAAAAAACACGCCAGGTTCAATCAAATGTCAAGGTTTTGATCATTGTTTTCTTTGGTTGCCGTGGCGTACCGCAGAATATATAGATCCACTTTTAAGAAAACGAAGGAAATCCATTATGATAACCAAATCGGTAAGTCAACGAATAAGATGAAATAAGTATGGTCTGCTATCAGTGATATTACGAGAGAATTAAAAAAAAAAGTGGGAATATCACTTAGTCCTGATAGAATCAATGATTATTATTGTTCGATTGCAAAAAACCTCAGTGATAATATAGTGGTGCCTTACGATCCCTTATTAAATCTGGAAAATGTCAGAATTGAGGATAACCTTACTTTGAACGATAGAAGTACTAGTGAATCAGTAGAAATTTTGAGGAATATAAAGAATAAAAATACAACTGGTTATGATGGAATCTCCATAAAAATTATTCAAAATATTCCAATTGAGGCACTGCAAACATTGGTATCTCTGGTCAATATCTGTTTCCACAATGGAATTTTTCCTGATTCTCTGAAAACATTCGTTGTCGTTCCATTATATAACGGTGGAGATTTAGATGATTCCGCGAATCTTCGCCCGATCTCTCTCATTCCAACTATAGCCAGAGATATCGAAAAACTTGTGAAAATACGTCTGACGGTTTTCCTACAACACCACAATATCTCAATTGAAAGCCAGTTTGGTTTTCAAAGCAATAAAAATACGCATGATGCCATCTTTTCATTCCTTTATAATATTTATTCAAAGTTTAATTCTGGTAATATAGCAGCTGCGGTCTTTTGTGATCTTTCTAAGGCGTTTGATTGCGTTGATCATAAGATCTTGCTAAGGAAAATTCACCAATACAGCTGCAGAGAAATGACGCTCAAATGGTTTGAATCTTACCTTTCAGGAAGGAATCAAATGGTAAGAACAACAGGACTTTCAGAAAAAAAGAAATGTTATGTGGTGTTCCAAAAAAACTCAAATGATTTACTCAATGCAATATCTACTGATATCAAAAAAATCAAGAAGTGGTGTGATGCTAATTTGCTATCCTTCAATATCACTAAAACAAACATTTTATCATTCAGATGTGCTCTTGATGACCTGTCATTTGGTGATAACTTAGTGATCAAGAACCAGTCTAAATTTCTAGGTATTCACATTGACAATAAGCTCAAACAACTTAAAAGTAAAATTTGTTCTGGATGTTTCCCCAATTACCCAACCACAATTAATAATAGCCTCTCTTCAACTCACTTTATATATGTACTTGTAATATGCTCTAGACGCAGTTCTCGTGTTTTGAATCAATTCTACAGATTATTGATTGCTTGATTTTTTTATTGGTCGATAAAAATGACCTTCCAATGCACTGAGTGATGATACCAAATTTGACGTAATGCTTGAATTTGTGGTAAACCTATCTATTTCCGAGTCGACAAACAACCACAGCATTGATTGTTAACCACACATAGATAAGTTGAATAACAAAAGAAAATAATATGCATTATCTATTTCTGAAAATTAATGTTTACTTATGATCTCATGAAAAACGATTTAACGTATTTTTGTGAAAGCAACGTAATACTGGGTACTACTAGTATCCAAAGGGAACATCAATTGATTTCTGGTAGAAACTATCTCATCGATCCCATTTACGTTGATGAAAAATAATGATTTGCTATTTTGGTATAATTTATATCCTGGGCAAAAAAATCAGGAACTTTACCAAATATCCGACGAGGAATAATACTTTGAAACCAGTCTGTAATTGTTAATTGATTTTAGTTAGGTGTTTTAACTAAAAAAAAAAAAACAAAATAGTGTACCTCATAGTTCCATTCTAGGACCACTGCTCTTCAGTATCTACACTTCTAATCTGATTGGGAGCTTGAACCATTGCAACGTTTATTTTTCGCTGATATACACATTGAGATTTCCGCCACTCATGATTGAGGAGGTCATGCGACTCATGAATTGATTCTTCTACTGATCATTGAAGAACTGGTGAGAATGAACATGATGCTTTCATCGCTTCACATAGTCGGAATGACAATGAATTTAGGTGTTTAAATGGCATTTGTTTACGACTCGAAAATACATTCATTGTTCCCTTGATTTAGTGAGGTTCTACTACTGGACGATAGAGAAGTATCTGCAAAAATTTACTCTGCGAGTTTTCAATATCCATCGTGGTATCAGCCAGGGAAGTAGTTGTTTAACGACTGGTATTTACCAGATCTTTCTGTGTAGGAATATTTGAAATATTTGTTTGCATCGTAAACTTATCTTAATCTTACGTCTTCTTATATTTTCCTACCTCCCACCTGGTAGAAACGAACATAAGCCTTTATTAAAACAAGTAAACGCGGAGACTAGAAATTTATAGCCGAAAATAACGAAAGCGTAAGAAGATACTTAAAATCACTTAAGGTTGAGCCGAGAGAAATACTGCAACGAGCAAAACGGTGCGAGATATTTACAACTTTGTTCGACCCGGGAGAGAATAGCTACTAAGCTAATAACACATGCTTGAAAGATCGAGATTGTGTTTTGTTTGTTCTAACACGTTCCAGCAAACAGGATTGGACCAGGGTAGAAAACAGGGAAATATCACGGAAGTGAAGTCAAATGTTGCGTATATTCGACAGAGTTACTACTTTCTTAAGTGATTTAAAAAAAATCAATTTATCCCACGAAAAACAGTGTGCAAAAAATGCTCGTTGAAAGCGAAAGAATAATACTCTGAATTATATCTATGAACGATATTTTTTATGACTCTATCGAAAATTTTTAAGTAATGAAAGTGTTTTTGTTAAAACAAGCACAAACAACTTCATAATAAAGCTAGAAAAGTTGCAGTTTTTGGCTATTTCGAAACCTACCATGAAAATTCAATAACTCTAATTTCATGCNAACTCTAATTTCAGTTTTCGTACTGTCCATAGGGTTTTGAAAAAGTTAAAATTAATTCCTCATAAGTATCGAACAGTTCAAGAGCATTTGGAGGGGTATCTTCATCGAGAAAACTTTCTGACATTTCTATCATCGGTATTTCAACATTTATAAACAAAATGTAAAAAACTTGTTATATTT